CCGGCTGTTCCGCCTACACAGCTTTGCTGCAGTGAGAAATGCGACCTATCTCCTGGTAACTTTTCTTTTCAAACCTGCTATTAATTAAACAAATTAAATTCAATATCGAATATTACTTTTTTTAGACATTTAATTAGTTAATTTCAGATATATATGTGTATATACATATATACATGTGCGTGTGTGTGTGTGTGTGTGTGTGTGTGTGTGTGTGTGTGTATCTGAATTAATTAAATGTCTAAAAATTAATACTTATATACTTTACATACGTAACGAAAAATTTAATTTTTAAATACTGCAATCTATTATTTTTACAAACAGTTTTACATACGTTTCTAATACGTTTTACATACGTGTTATATAATTTTGAAATCAGTTTTATATATTCAATATTGTGTTTTAGATTCGCACGGTTGGCGCGATTTTTAGAAACGTTCAAAAATGCACGGCATTTAATAGCCAAATATAATGTATTAAGAATATAATATCGTAATACAAGACTGGCTAAGGTCACCCGTTAGTCTCCCTATTTATGTTCGTCGGCTTATTTAATTCGATAGTTGCACTTATCCTTTGATCTTCGCCCCAGCTATCCACACTCGCCGGTGTAATAGCAGCGTACCTACTCCGAGACGTTTGTGCCGGCTATATATGTATAACGCTGCGCGACACGTATATCATCGACATAGTGACGGGCGGTCTGACCCGATACTCTCTTGGCAACCACTTGGCCGGGTACGCTTGATCGGTTCATTTACCAGCGCCGAGAACGTGCAGTCGGGGGTAACCACCCTCGCAATCCCTATTTGCTTCTTCTACTACTGTTCCCAGGCCCTTCGGTCTGGCCAATTAAAGACAGCCTTCGCGCTACCAAGACGATCAACGGATACATGGACGCGCTTATACGATTACCTAGACTAGATATTTCCACCTCAATTGACGAGATATCTCTTAAAATAGAAAGCAACTTAAAATATAGAAGATAGAAAAAATACGTAGAAAGCTATCTATTGCAAAATATTAAAAATATATTTCGGTTGCTTTTAACATTTGAAATATTTAAAATATAATTTAGTTAGTTTATATTCTCGGAGCAAAATACTTTTCTTGAATGTGAATTTTTGTTCTCCTTCTGATATATTTTAGGTTTTGCAAATCGAATTAAAAAGAAGAGACGATTACTTTAAATGTCAAAATTAAATACCGTGAAATAATTTTGGCAAATTATTCTTTCAGAAAAAAAGGCTATCTGGGTTTAACTTTTTCGTGTATCTATAGGTATCTTACACGGATGAACAAACATACAATATGGCGTAAGCCCTCCTGGGGAATTTCAGGAGCGGGCGAAGACGACTTTAACGACCGTCTCTCTTGTTACGACAGTCGAGGGTGCTCAATGATGCGTTAAAGTAAGGGGACGATTGCCCCGTTTCAAAATAATAAAACTCCCTGATAACGATGTTATATGCTATCCTGTTGAGATTGCAGCTGTTGTGTGTATCCAAGAAGTATCGAATGATCGATCATTACGTTCGAAGCTTGTATCAATCCGAGCAATAATCTTGTATCAATATTTTGCTTTTGGTTTTTAGATTTTTTAAAATTAATTATAACTTTTATTTAAAACATCTTTTATTATTTAAAACTTTATGCATAAAAACATAATGTTGATACAAAACGAATTAATCGACTATATTTTGTGCTTACAACGGCTAATTTAATAATATTAATATTTGCAAAGCCAGTGCATCGCTATCGGAATCGAGAACATTAACTTATGTCGGTAAATGGAAAATATTTTGTCACGACTGGAGAGAATGGTTGATTAAGTGGCGTGTTAACAATTTTGTTCAAATACTACAAAACTCGCGGACGATCGCGGGCGATCAAAATTGAACGAATGATGTTAATAATGTATAACGCGCATCCGTATGCGATGGACGGCGATCGTATTACGCCCGCCCCCGTAATGCAATAATACGCGAATATGCAGTGCAAAATAAACATTAAACCTCAATTGTTCATTACGTAACTTTAATGGATTTAATGTACATATTGATATCGCGCCGATACGTATGCTAAACCGGATAAACACCCATAATTATGCGAACATTTACGTGTAAATCGAATCCCCCCGGTGCCCAATGTACAATATTCCAGAAACCGCGCGGTTTGACACAAGTCAGATAATGTAATTGGCGTAGATCAACTGAGAAATGAATTTTGGCGAATTAACGCGTAATTGTTCTCTGGTTTAAACCGTCCGCGTCGCGTCCCCGATGTCGCGCGATTTTTTACAAACATATAAACGCGCACGAGGGAGACCCCGTATCGGGCGAGCTATATATCGAGGGAGTGCGAAAGAGCAATAAATTCGAGCGACGAAATGAGGGAGCATCCCTACGCCATTTACACACAAAGATAATTATTCCATCAGGACACACTTCATTATCGCCCGTGCTGCACAAAGTGTTAATGAACCTAGAGACGTACATTTCCAAACAGGTAACAAGGTTGAGACAATGCAAACGAATTCACAAACGGTCTCGCCGGCGCCCAGCGTATACGCGAACAAACAATAACCGACTCCGAGGTGTTCGTTTGTATTTGCAAACAGTTCCAGAGGAAGAAACAATTCTTGCTGAACTATGCGCGAACCATCCGAAATTACTGTTTCGATAAGTTTGCTCTGGATACCTCCGTAAATTTATGACGAAATTAAAATTTGCAGAGAAATTGTAAAATAAGTCGAATACGAAATTCTAAAAATAACTTTAAACTTATTCTAAATTCAAAAATGGCGCTTCCAAGATTCCAAATGATTCGTCATCGAAACAAATTTAATTAAGACGTGAAACGTTTAATGAAATTGTTTCATTAAATTTTTTTATCTTACTTTATCTGATTAATAAAAAATAGAATAGAGTAAGAGAATCCCAATGGAATACACTTAAAATATTATTTCAGACATTACAAGAGAGATGCAGTTATTACATCGATAATTTTGCAGTTTTTTTAATTAATAGCGTAAAAATCTGTGAATCCTGCAGCTTAAAAGTGTTCAGTATTCATAATAAATGTATATTGTACAATCTCGAATAGCAATTAACAACTTGTAAGTTGAATGATGGTATCCCGCCACAAGCGTTCCAAACTCGAATTTCCTGCAAAGCGAGGACTCAACATTTGACTTTCCGTGTACCTTCAGTACTAGTGGGTCGTTAAAGTTTAACGATCCGTTAATGCTTGTCGAAGATAACACCCAAAACAATTCGCGGCAAGTCGATAAGGTTTAACGATGCCGTAAATATTTCTTCACGACTCGCCCATGAATACGTCATCTCAAAAGATTAAGGTTCCCCCCGTTTCGGGGAAAAACGCGAGATCTATCGATCGCGCTTCCCGCGCGATCTCCCCGATGGGAGCGGCGGTCTGCACGAGAAGCACGGCGCGCATTAATTATTATTTACCGATTTAAAACTAAATAATCACACGGCTCTGTTAATTGAATAGCGACGTTAAGGGACGGCGTGTTGCCTTCTGCGCTCCCATCGCTGTAATAACGGCGAGATTTGCATTTAATCAGGCCGAGAGAACTCCTCGCCCTGCGTTTCTTGCCGGCCATTGTAAATGCAGCGCAGCAAGAATGTCCGCGCGTGTTTTTATCGCCGTCGCCGTTCTGCACGCGGACCTCCTCGTGAAAACGCCACCGCTGTGTGTTGCGTTGTGCCGCATACGTTGACTCCGCGCGAGTTACTCCCTATCTCCCCTCTCCCCCTCCACCCCCTCCCACCCGTAACTGTTTGCAGTTACAGGGCGAACTGTCTCAGGACAGCGTTATTGTTCGCTTGTCGAGAGGGAGACTTTGAAAGTTTCGCTGCTCCATTTGCATCCTAACGATAAACGTTCTTCTGAAGGAGATTTCTCGCGCCGAGAGAGAGAGAGGGGGGGGGGCGCAAAGTTACCGCGCGCGATTTGCGCGCGATCGCGACATGACTTTGCAATTACGCGGTATTAATTGCAGCTACAGGAAAACAAATATTTGTTAATGCGGAGTAGAAGTGTGTTAAATAGAAATGTTTGTCTTTTCGATTACGTTGTCCGAGGGTAAATACACTCAGAACAATCAAATGGTACAATCAAATTGCATATCGATTATAATTCAATTCTGCATGGCATTATAGAAGTTTGTCAAATATATCTCGGCATGCGTGTATCTCGTGTGTAACGTTGTTCACTGTCAAAAATCATTGCAGGAATAGGAGAGACAATTGTGTATTTTGCTTCGCGGGAAAGCATCATATTTTGCGACCGAAAAAATTCCCAATGTGTGATATTATTGAACAAAAATTTCCACTTACGGCGTTGTTTTAAGAAAGGAGCTATTTACGACGAAAAGAGCCTTCACGCGTATATCCTCCACGATCGATTTTTCCGTAGCGTGCGCTTCTGCAATTTGCGCTTCGTACACAGGGACCCAAGAGCGCGTGTGCCACATAATAATCATAATCTGAGATCTCTATTTCGGGTATTTCGGAGTAGCACGACAACGTTACTTAACGTTATGCGGGGAACTCCATGTGGAAATTGTGTTCTATCATTCTTCAAACTAACAATTTTGCGACATTAATCAACGCGATTAGCTTCCGAGATTGACGGTAACACGGAATAGCAGCAGCTCGACGTGGTAAGGTGTGAAACAATACGGAATGAAGAATAGCATCGTACTTGACGGCTTTCTACCTTACGGCGTAAAGTGCCGTTAAATATCTTACGGTTAAATCTTTACGCTCTTTCGTAACAGTATAAGATCGCTTTATGCCACAAATTCGCCACGATTGTTTTTACGCTTTTGAAAGATAAACACCGAATAACGCTTGCTGAAACAATTGAGAGAAATTGGTGTACATCACCGACGAGAATTCCGACGGACCTTCATCTGACAATGCCGGAGAGGAACAACGGATGCCTGGCAAATGTAGCATGAAAATATTACTCACCACACGGTCGCCCGGATGCTTGACGTAACAATTCAGCTCCGCCGTCTGACCGACGATGGCAGTGACATTTCGCCGTGCAATATCGTCGAATTGAGGTTTATCCCAGGATCTCGTCGGCTTGCTGCCTGCTACCACGCTGGCGATACTGGAACCACCTGAAACGAAATATGTTATGTTAATATAGTGATGTCGGCAAATGTAAAATTTGAAAATTACTTTCTTAAATTAGCTACGGCCAATGTTTTTATTACAAAATAGAAGCTTTAGCATAAATTTAGCATAAATTTCTTATACCATGGTGGTTTTGTTGTGGCCTCAAGCTATAATATTAAATAAATCCTTTTCGTCACATAAGATCTTAATTCATAGCTTGAGCATTTAAACAAGTGTGTAAAAACAAGTCTGATAATAATATGAAAGATATGATATAATATACAGATAATCAGACAAATAACTTCACAATTTATTTAATTAATACAAATAAATAAAACATATTACAATAAAGGCCTATGAGAGCTAATATGGATGTCGGTGTGTAATAGTTTTTTACAATATCCTGCAGCCACACGTGAGAACAGTGCGCCGCATAATCGTCGGACTTGAAACACAGCTTATTACATGAGGCCGGAATTTACTTGTAATAATTAAATTGACTAGCAATTTAACACGCATTTATATACGATCCCCTTCCCCCCGAATCTGTAAAGAAATTATTGCGAAAAAATATCACTTCATGTTCCCAGCTGAAGGATATTAATATAATTCTTTAAATGCAAATAATGTTTTTACTTTGTACGAATATTTTAAACCAACACTTATTCAATTGATGCATCTTCCTAACTATTTTATCATCTCTTTTTATATATTTTATCTTAGATTCTTTCGATAAAAAACTTTTGCTTTATATAATTTATATAAATGTCATACACAAAGAAACCTAGAGATGCTTTATTTTGATTATTTAAAAATTATATCCCTAGTAAGTACTTGTGAACACCCGTCAACAGATTAATCGAAGAAATATTGTCTAAGAAAATGTATCGCACAGCTTAATAAGGCACATAAACCCGTGGACAAATCTTATCTGACGAAACATTGAGCGGGCTATATAACTCATGCTAAAGTCAAAGTCGAAGTTAGATGAATATGGAAACTCAGTACGGCGTACATTCAAACGAGATTAGACGCGAAACCCTTTACGGCATCAGAAGCTGCAGCTGCGAGTGGACTGAAAGTTGCCGGGTTGCGCATGCCGTACGTAATTGTAATAAGTACTTGATTAAGCCCGAACTTCCGGGATTACAAAGCGTCACGCCATTACTCACGGTTCCTGTACACAATTGCGTTTAGCATTCACGAAACACGATGCTGTTCGCGCCAAGAATACCGCTATCCTCTTTGATCTTATATCGAGGCAAATAATTTACAAACTAATAACCATAAAGCGTATTAACGCGCGTGTATATATACACCTTCCGCTTTCTATCATTTTCACCGTATCGCGCTATGACGGAGTGTAGTCTGTAATAATAACGTTAAGACCAAGTATAATATTTGACAAATTGGTTTCAATTGTTGACAATAATGTGTTTCAAGTTGTTTGACAATTCGTATTTTATTGGAATAAGTTTCTTCACTTCGCAAGTACGAGAGATTTATATTGATATTATAATGAGCAAATAAATTAATAATTAATTGTTTATATTTATCTAATTTAAATAATTAATATAAACAACGTTTAACGTCACTTCTGACCACAACATTTGATTTACAAAATGCTAATTAATATCTTGTAATCATACTCAATTGTAAACATTGACTTGCATAATGTCACCGATATATCAATATCAGTTTAGTATAATATTTACTCTTTATAGAAAAATATACATATATGACAACTATTTCTTATTTGTAATGCCTATTTTTATTTTCAAGCAATTAAATATATTAATTAACATTATTGAGAATAAAAGTATTAAATATGACCAATAAATTTGTTTCTTCACATTTTATTTTCAGGAGTACGTATCCAACGCGATTTATGTACTCTAATGACATACACGTGGTAGTTGGTTAATATGCTATATGATGCATCCCGGCGCGGGTTTCATTCAATTTATATGAGTCGCTCGACTTGCCATTAACCGAGGTTTCGACGATCGCGGAAATTGTCATTATCATAATCCCATAGGAGTAGCTGAATAGGATGGAAAAGAACGGGCGAGTCTCCGAGAGGTGGCATCGGAAAGCCCAATGGAACGGCCGTGCACAGGCAAGAAGGGCGAGATAGAACGCGTCCGATAAAATTTTCCATTGTATGCCGGGGAAAATGGGACTCCGGCGCGGGTAGAAATTGAAATTGTTACGAGGTACATGTGAAAATTGCGGAAATCGCACGAGGCGAGACTGAGGGCACAACGAAAGCGTGACGGGATCAAAAAGGTCGGTACCTTGAAAACGCTCTTACTAGCTACGATATTAATTCGCCGTTGCTTTACGGTGAAACTAATTTATGACTGCGATAAAACGGGAATTTTTTTAATCTGCGCTTTTGTTTTCGTTGTGAAAAATGTAAAAGCAAATGAAAAAGTTTATAGAGTGCAATATATAAATTGTATATCAGCGTTTTTAAAAAAAATCCAGAATATCGTTAATATTTACTACATAATAAATTATGTACTGGAAATATATAACAATATTATATATTAATTTAACGTTATTATGGATTCTTATTTACAAAAAGTTTTTAAATATTTAATAAATATAAATTTTAATATATAATAAATTAATATATTATAAAAGTATATTGTTAAAACGGTAGAAGTTCATATTTTTTAACTGTTGAATTAAAAAAATTTAAATATATAATATCAAAAAACTCAGAAATTAATTATTTTTACTTATTTTAATTTAAAAAATTTAGTAATTTTAGTTAATTTTTCAAATTTAATTTAGTTAACGCACACACACGCACACACACATATATATATATATATATATATTATATATAGAGTGTACATTATATACATATCCCATTTCCATGTTATACCCGGACAAACTTTTACGTTTCTCAGGAAGTTGTTTCGCCAATAAAGCATTCTCTCGCAACTTTCAATGAACACCGGGAAATGAAAGCTATCGAACTCGAAAGCTTTCGATACGCAAAGGCTACCCTCCTCCGTCGTACCTTGCACGAATTCAATAAGGTTCTGCATTCTCCGCACTCCGTGGCAACAATAACTTCTTGTTATAGTCATGGCGCGGGTTAAGCAAACACCGGTCACGAGAACAATACGGGCACTGCCCACTCGCCGGATGATTTTCCAAACTTCCTTCCAGTCGCGGCACGTAATTCGAGTTGTTTGATCTGTAGCTTTGAACTCGGCGGAAAACACCACTAGTGAAATTTTCCACTTCGCCTTTAAATTTAGCCACGTCTGCCTTTATTCCTGATTTTATCTTTGTACGTCCGCTCCCGGTGCTGTACGCGCGCACAACTTCCACGATTAAAATTCTTGGCAAATAAATATAAAACAAAACTTTTCAATACGCAAATTATCGTATGCAAATTATGAATTTTAAATAAAAGAATAATAAAAATGTGAAATTTGCAGAACGTACTGTATGATGTATGTAAAATTTAAAAATGAAGAGATAAATTTGTGTAACTAACGTAAAACTACAAGTACATTGTACAACACGTATAGATTATAGAAGGTAGTACCTGCATAAAATTCATTATATATTTATAATTATAAAATATATTTATTACTTGAAGATATTTAATGTCTTGAGATAATAAGGGAGAGAGAGAGAAAGAGAGAGAGAGAGAGAGAGAGAGAGAGAGAGAGAGAGAGACACAGCAGGTGAAATTATAAAACAAACATTTATAATTTCATTAGAAACGTATCACGTATTAAATTTCAGACTCTCATGTACGGTCACGTCGTCACAAAACAATACGTTATAATATGTTTTCCACTTTTTAAAAATTATTACGCAAGAAACAGAAATTCTTTCTCGCGTTAATGTGAACTAATGGCCGTGCGCGATGAAAAGCGAACGCGGTAATACCCGTTAATGTCAAAGCACGCTGCGCTTTACTCACGGTCCACGCTGTATTTCACCGCGCTAAGCCGCGTCGAATCTTGCCCGGCACTGTAGCAATATTTATTTGCCGTTACGATAGCGAAAAGCGGAGCAAATGCCTGTACAAAGTGTCCCGCCGGTTACGATACTCCACCATAGTTTTCCGACCAGTTCCTATTCCAGCCGCACTTGGCTCGGCAACTGCACCGGCGATATTTCGAAATGGATGGTATCGTCGATTTCGAGTATCGAGTGCATTGCCGAAGGGTCCGTTCTTTTCTAGCCGTTTTATTCCGTTGCTCGCTTCGTCGCAATTCGTCGCGGTATACGCTCGATCGGTTCGCAGCAATATGAGCGCGCATTCCCTTTTACCTGCGATCGAGAAACTGGATTTTGCCGTTCAGATAAATCGACGAGTCGCGAACGACGACGTCGACGGCAATTGCGCGAGCTAAGTCGAGGTCGCAAAATGATATTTATTTTTATCATCCTCTGTCCTGCAATCTGCGACGAGGCAAAATAAAATGCACTACGAAAACTTATAATTCGTATTGCATTTAAATAGGCTGATACATGCCTGAGTAAATCCGGCATTTTTTCGAGGAAAAAATTTACTTTTCAAGCTGCGAAAGAATTTCAATACAATCCATTCGTTTAAATTCTGTAATTTATCAATTATTTTGCCAAGTATTTTATTCGTTTGTCAAAAGAATGTAAAAAAAATCAGAAAATTAACATATGTATTGTTAAAATATACAAATGACTTTAATTAAAATTAGGATATATTAAATTTACCTATGCCTGCATTTATATACTTATATATGTACATATCCTGAATAAAAAAGTGACAATTTTCGAGAAACATTGTGAAAATGAAATTCAGCGGGCAAAAAAAATCCTTTTCTCTCTATCTCTTCTTTCCTCTTTGGCGAAATATTATGGAAGATCAAGACATCATCTCACGAAGGACATCGTAGGAGATCGAATTGCACGCGCGCGTGTTTCATGAGCGAAGTCAAGCTTCCGCCTGCGGATGGCTACGCGGTCGATTGCGATAACGATATGG